GGAGCAGTGGTCATATAGGATGGGAATAGAGATGAAGAAAGTAGAGATTTTCTGGTAAATCGTGCTAAACGTGAACACATTTCCCCTTCTTACCTATTTGTACTCAGAGCAATTAGTATTTCTTACAAATACGTAATGAATATGGTTAGTGCAGGTGGGTGAGGTGTGGGGAGGTACAGTACTCAGCCAGCACACACTGGCTTGGCTGTCTTGGTCCTTTATGGCCAGCCTCCCTTCTTATTGGATATATGTAGGCCATATCAGTTGGACAGCGTTTTGAATATCATCTGTGGGCTTAAGTGAATATTTGGAAGAAAAGTTATTCGAGTAAGCTGTATAGATAGAAAAAAATATATACACACACACACACATATGGACGTTACTATGTGTCTAATTTTAAGCAATGGTAGAAATTTTAGCATATATTCAATATAAACCATCTATATATTAGAGAACCTATAAACTAGTAAGCTATATTTTAATATTGCTAAAAATAAGATATTTTAACACTTAACGTGTTGCGTTTTCTAGTTCCAAATGGTAGTGATGGTAGTGAAAGTACATAATTGGTTTTATTACATATATGTACTTGCCAGTTCAGTAGGGGACTCAAATATTTTATAGGGCCATGAAAATTAATCGGTAGCATTTTCTTCTTATAATGACGAGCACCCACATTAAAATTATCATATTCCATGTAGCTTATTTTTTTTTTTATCATCTTTGTCTTAATTCTCCTCCTTAAAAAAAGGCAGAGCAACTACTAGACTATATATAATTTTATACTTGCCAATTGACCTTCCCTCGGGGGCTACTGTAGTTTTTATAAATAGCTTGCTGACTTCGAAGAAACAGAGTTCTGTTCTTATGAACTCATCTGGAAAGGGCATTGCTTTGGGGATATGGAGACCATGTGTGGAATTTCAGCTACAGGAAAAATTCTGGGATTTAGGCAAAGAAATATTGGGTAGTTTAAAATTGAAAGTCCATTTGTGAAAAATTGATTTGCTCTTAATGCCATATTTTTTTTTTAGAAACTAATATATTCTGGTCTCCAGTCTGGGGTTTTCAGACTCCCAGGGACCTACAAACACAGATTGGTACCACTGGTCATATGCACTGATTTGCAGTAGTATATTCTTGATTTATTAAACATGAGCAAATGTTATTTATTACTTAAAAAGGGAAATTTGTTTAGTTTACTCAATTTTTCATAACATGGAGTTAATGGAGTAAAAATAATAAAAAATTCCCTTGGGAAAGACTCGTGCCACTTTGCAGCCTGACCTGTACAGCTGCCGTACATGTGAGATTGTGACCTCTAGAGATTTTTATTGATTGAATTAACATATTCAAAAAGCTGAGAATACAAACTTTTTAACTGAATTTTAGTTTTTTTAAAACGAGATAATTGACACATTTCAGGTGTACAACAAAATGATTCGACACTTGGATGTATTGCGATCACCACAGTGTCTAGTTAATATCCATCACCACATATAGTTACAGTTGTTTTCTTGGATGAGAGGTTTTAAGATTTACCCTCTTAGCAACTTTCAAATATACAATACAGTATTATTAACTGTAGTCACCATGCTGTACATTATATCCCAGGACTTAATTTATTTTGAAACTGGAAGTTTGTACCTTTTGACCAGCTTCACCCATTTCTGATTGTGAATGTCAAAGTTTAATGAACTACTTTTTATCCTGCATTAAAATTTTTGATGAAAGATGCAAGTGGTTTTATGATATTTCTGTAATGAGAATACATATGGAGGTTGGTGTATCTTGTATTATCCTTAAAGCAATGGATGTGTGATACTGAGTTCATTTTTCTTAAAGTAACTTTTGTTGTACTTGGATTAAGAGATATCCAAAATAAGCTTTGCTATTTTCAGGGCCAGTGGGTTTTTTTGTGTGTTTCTTTTTACTTTTCTTTTTCCTTGAGGAGGGGGGAGGTGGTCCTGGTTAGGCTATCAGCAGTAGCCGCCATCAAGCTGCACACTCTCTGAACGTGTATCACAGTGTAACCCCCAGTGTCTCCAAAAGTTGTAAAAGCACTATACCTGTTACTGAAGACTGAGTTTGTATGAATTCATTTTGAAACATTAAAAAAATTTAAAACCAACATTAGATGCCTAGTTATAGAATTGCCCCAGTTGACAGTCCAATTTAATTTTTAAGAAAGCTTTGCTCATCACATTCTTAAATGACTTAAATATGCTGATAAGAAATTTCTCAGTATTCTGGTGATTCAAAGTCCTTTTCTTCAGGGTGGTGTTTTAAATACCCAGCCTAAATTCTTACTGCAAGTTAAACTTACTCTTATTCAGCCTGTAGTTGAAGGAAGAGTGCTGTTTGAGTTATTTGCATTTCCTCTGGGCTCACTTCATGTTTGAGGACTACTGTGAAACTCTGTATTCTTGCTAGCTGTCTATTTCTTCAAACCCCATGCTGCCTCATCTGTTTTATAACAGTTCTCTAGTGTCCTGAAATGATAAAAAGTTGATATGATACCCCACCTTAATCCTATTGTAATATAAAGGAGAAATTAAATGAACATTTATTTTTTATAAAAAATTTTAGGGGCCGGCCTGGTGGCTCAGCAGTTAATTTTGCACGTTCAGCTTTGGTGGCCTGGGGTTCGCCGGTTTGGATTCCGGGTGCAGACATGGCACCGCTTGGCAAGCCATGCTGTGGTAGGCGTCCCACATATAAAGTAGAGGAAGATGGGCACGGATGTTAGCTCAGGGCTAATCTTCCAAAAAAAAGATAAAAAAAATTTTAACAAATACATTTTCAAAAACAACATGAATTTCAATATGGAAAAGCTTGGGCGTGACGTATCAGGAATAATGAAGTAGTTAGTTTCCTGTATGTGTGTGTAGCATCACTGTGAAGACCACAGCTACAGGTGCAGGCTAAAAAAATTTGTATCAGCAACTTAAAAGCAACACACAGTTTTGAGATGGAGGGTGCAACTTTTTGATATGGTGAATCGATTTTGACGAGGCTCTGAACAAAACAAATCCTTTGACTCACGTAGTTGTTTTTCTTGAAAAATTCAATGTGTATTAAAAATTTTCCATAAGTACTATGTGTTTATGTAAAATAGGGTAAGGTTCTAGACTCAGATAATTATAAACATATTTTTCACCCTCATGACTCTCTAGCCATTCATTCAGAAGTCGTGAGGACCCGAGAAAATTCTGTTTGAAACTCTCCTTTGTATTACAGCAAACATAGCAAGCCTCTCCTCGGCCCATGAAAAGCAGATAATACTCCCTAGTCATTGTGCAAGCCCAGAACGCGAGAACTTATTTTAAAAGAAAGAAAGGCCTGGCCTAGGTGATTCTCCTGAGAACTTTTGCTCTAGGCTAAGCTTTTAAGCTTAGGCCCTACTTTCTAAAGCATCAGTTTCTTTTTCCTCTTCTTTAATCTATCTGCTTTTTCTATCTTATACTTCAGTATAATCAGTAAAGACAAGGGATTCACATTTATCTCAGAATATACTTAGTATACATTGAATGGTGTGATCTCTAATAATCTATATGTAAAATAAAGTTTTAAGCAAATTAACAGTTGCTAATACACCATTGTGGGTGATTACCAAAGAGATCCTTTCATCTTTTTTGAGTGGAATTCCACTTCATGTAAAGATTGTTTTATTTTAAAATGTGTGGGGGATTGATAATAACACCAAACATTTATAGAGCACTTATCTAAGAGTTATGATGTTGCTTACCTTATCTCTTATTTTTAAGTCTGCTAACCATCTGATGAAACAGATATTATTAATATCTTCATTTTACAAAAAAGAAATCAGAGCCATAGAGGGGTTAATTACCTTGCTCAAGGTCATGCAACTATTAAGTAGAAGAGCAAGATTTAAACTCGGGTTTCTCTGACTCTACAGCAATTGCTCTTAAATTGCAGTGGTGTTTGGGTGAGTCTTTTCAAAGGTAGATCATCACTGTTAAAACATGTCTAGCACAAACCTATAGAGAAACTTTCCCTATTTGTTTTCTAATAACCTGTTTTTCTGTACCTCCTCTTATTTTCCCTTCTTTTGAGTCAAGTAGATATATGGGATATAAAAGTAAATTATACAGAGAAATTCTACTTGGTGTTAGTTAAGTGTCAAAATGGCAATGAGAAATTGATGAGGGCTAAGTACTTCAATATTGCCAACATCATGATGCTCATCAGTGATAAGCAAGTGAGTCTAGTCTGCCTGTGTGGTCTGGAATAGAAAGAGGATAGAAACTATGAAAACGCTGCCACGTACTTAACAAAAACTGTATGAATAACAAAACCCCAAAGGCAGAGGATAATAATTATTTTTCGTTAACCACCTTCAACTTCAGCTGATGGGAAAGCCTGCTTTTTGTCTTTCTGGTGCTAGTTACCAGCCAAGAAGCGGGGTTTGCATTGCTGCCACTGGTGGCGTCTGTGACTCCTAGATAAGCAGTGCTTTCTAATCTCCTGTGGGTTCTTTCCAGCATTAATAAATGTGTTTAAAATAAATGAAGTTATATGAATGGATCAAATGAGTGCTTCATGTGCTTGACAGTGAAATGATCAGATTTTAACTTACATTTAAAATTGACAGAGGCTTCCCATTAAAAATAGCATTTGGTTGCAGTTGCTGTCACAGCCTCTTCCAATTTTCTGGTAAAAGATCAATGAAGACCCAGAAAACAAACAAGCCAATAGAAAAGACTGACTCATTTGCTAGGAATTTTGGTGCCACTTCCTCCACCTACAAGGAGCTGGGGCCTGGGAAGAACAGGCTTGTCTCATGAAGCAGCCCAGCCGGTTTCAAGTGGGAAGTGTAATTTGCTGCTTGTGTAACCTCTGCTGCTTGCTCGGATGCCCATTATGAAAAATGAGGCAGCTCTCCATCTGCTGCAGGGGTGCTGTTTTTCTGAGGAAGCTGTAATGTTACCATCCCTTATGCCTCCATTCTCTTACGTCTTTATGCATCCGTCCTGCAGCCGTGAGAACGTAGAAGGTGGCAAGAACCTGAAGGACTGGGAGAGTTGGAGCCGCCGACTACTGCATCCTGAAAGGAAGAGGTCTCTTCAGGTAGAGGGCCCAGGATGGGAACGGAGAACTGAAGGGTAGGCATCTGAGTCTTCAGGTGATCCTTTATCAGACCGGTGATGTTTAAGGAGAAGGCCCCTCTGCAGTCCAGAAGACCAGCTATAAATTAATGCCTGACAGTCGCTGAGAGTTGGGTTTATAACTCTTCATATCTGTCTCCATTCCTGCTACAGCAGTGAAGTGGGGTTTCTATACCCATTGAAGAGCCCAGTGAGCCAGGCCAAGCCCTCTGATGGTAGACATCATCATCATCATCAGAGGAAGAGGAAGTAGAAAAATTCAGCAACGTGGGGCCTGTTAACAATGCTCCACTTCAGGATAAAGGCCTATGGTCCTGACGATGCAAGAGAAAGGCACATTTTTGGAAATATTTACAATACTAGAAGAACATTTAGAAAACAGCATAACAGAGGGTAGATGATATGGTAGCTATGAAACTGCAGCAGAGAGCTGTAAGGAGAGAACAAGCTCATGTTTTCATAAAGGTGGGGAAAGATTGCAAGGAACACAAAGATTAGGAGAGTGGGATTTAGGTCTGCAGAGGAGGCAAGAAAGAATAATTAATGTTTTGAAAAACTAAATCAGTGCTGTGAAGAAGAAACTTGAGGAACTTTCTTAGATTTCAGAGAAGGATCAAGAGGTGAAAACAATGAGGTAAGAGATAAACATAGGGAGAGAGAACTGAAAACCCAGTCTAAGAAAGATAAATATAAATGGCTGATAAAAATATGAAAAAATCCAGCCTTAGGGTTATGCAAAGAAATGTAAATGAAAATAAGAGTTCTCCTTTTGTGCCAATGAAATTAACAAATATTAACCAAGTGACACACTTTTGACATAAGTTCAGTGAAAAAGTGCTGCTTGAAATGTACAGTCATTTAGATAGGTAACATTTTCTTAAAAAGCTTAGCACTTTATCTAAAGGAGTAATGTGTATATAATAAGGTTTATGTATAAGGATAACAGAAATTGGAAAAAATCTAGTAATCTATGAGAGGCTTAAATGTAGTAATAATTTATAGCCTTAAAATCGTGGTTTTGAAAATATTTAATGATGTGGAAATGTCCTTCCCATACACTATAGTTTTAGAGTTTCCCAGCTGGATGCTAATAGATAAACAAGGAAAATATATGAAGTCAGAAATAAATATGGGAAGCTGCTTGCTCCCTAGATTTGTTATGACTTGCTTTCTAAGTCGTTTATTATGATTTGAAAAGTCATGATAAATGTTAGCAGCTTATAGGCTCTGAGAAATCCTGTAATAAAGGCATCTGCTAACTTTGCTTAAACTGTTTTATATCATTTTATACCACAGAACACTGTTTTTAGTGGAACAGATTTTAATATAATATTAACATCTCCCAGACGAATGTTCTTTAAATACCAGTTTGGGGAACAATATATTAAATTAAAAAAATATATTTTATATGAAACAGAGGTAAATATACAAAATAACTTAAAATTATCTCTGAATAGTTGAATTGTTTTGTACTTATATGTAACTCTTAAATTTTCTTCGACAAGAATTTCTTCAATAAGCGTGCAGTCTGGGCTGGCTCTGGGCCGAGTGGTTGGGTGCACGCACTCTGCAGCAGCAGCCTGGGGTTTTGCCGGTTCGGACCCTGGGCATGGATGAGGCACTGCTCGTCGGGCCATGTTGGAGCGGTGTCCCACATGCCACAACTAGAAGGACCTGCAACTAAAATATACAACTACTTACTGGAGGGATTTGGGAGAAAGAGCAGGCAAAAAAATGAAGTCCTTTTTTTTTTTTAAAAAAATACGAAAATATGGCAAATTTATTTAAAAAAGAAATATGAGGAACTCCAGCTATAAAACTTAATAGTTATTAGAGGATATAAAAGGGAACCATCATTCTGATGGAATTCGTGTCGTTAATATTTGCCTATTACAGAATTTTGGATTAGGCCTTTATTTTGAAATGTGGAGAGAGAGATTTTGAACAAATCTTTAATGATACAGAGTTAGTTCCTCCTTAACTGTGAATGATGAGTTCCATTAGACCAAAAAATTGAAAGAGTTATTGTGAGTCAAAGTAGAGTGAAAATAGTTATTTTTTGTTTCTTTATTTTGTTTTAATCAAAGAACTGAACACAAACTTTATCTAACCCTAACCATAGGAAAAAAGGGGACGACGGTTAGTTGCTGTTGGTGATTGAGGGTGTGTGTATGTGTGCGCACACGCACTGTATGTGTCTTTTTCCTCATTTTCTTCATTTTTAATAGATCAAAGTGAAAGAGACTGTAATCCTATCTCTTCAGAGTCTTTCTCCACCCTTTCCAAATCAACTTAAATTTTTCTAATTATTCACAGATGAGATTAAGTCCAAAAGAACTTTTTTTCCTGTTATTGTTCTATTTCTCTCCTTTTTCTTTCACAAATGACTACTTTTCTTTTTGCAGCTACTTTAATAGATAAGCATGTCAATATAGTTTACTATTTCCATAGTCATTTTATTAATGCAAGAATTTTAGACTAACAGAGGCAAATCTGGAAATGATTTAGATCCTTGCCTTTTTGAAGAATTGAATTGTGGTCCCTTCAGACTGTCTAGAGCAAATTAAATTGGGAGGTGAGAGAATTAAGCTTCAAGAGGCTACACTTTGTGTTAGAATGGGTAGTAGTCACTTTAAGTTGTAAAATGAATTTGAAAAATGCATGTTCTAGTTAATAATTCTTTTTTAAAACGCAGCTTTCCATCTTTTCTATTAGCCAAGTTAATTTTTTGTGATTTAAACTGAAGACTATAGCACACAACGTTAATAGCCTTCCCGTGAGGGATGTTGTAATGCCAGAGTCAATAATCCAGTCTTCTTCTATGGACTGTATTGTGTATAGGGTACAATAGCATTTCTTTCCCCACGTTAATTTACTCAGTAAGACATGATTTCAGACGACCCTGTGCACACGTATTTTTAGAACATTCAAAGGTAGAAAGTAGTGGAAACCTCATATGGTCCACTCCTGCATTCTTGATTTGGTGAACACTTTGATCACTGTAGTGTGGCAGTTTTACAGCCAAATCCCAAACCAGGTGGCATAAAGATGATGAACCTTGAAAACAATGAGGTTCAGTGACAAGGCTTTTTAAAAGAAGAGTTAATATTCAGTAATAATAATAATTGAGAAATCTGTGAAAATAGCAAAACATTTTTGAGTTATTTTGGCCCATAGTGTGAGCAGATGACTTCATTGTGTATCAGTGACTAAAGGGTTGTGTAGTTAGGATTTCAAAAGTAAATCATTTCCATTTTATCCAATGAAAAATCCTCTTGTTCCCGGGTCTTCAGGAGCTCAGTTAATAATTTGTGTTGTGATCAGTGTGGTTTTGGGGATTTTCATCTGTGACTAATTAGAACTTGGTTTTTTAATTTGAAATTCCTCCTTCTTGGTGAAGCTCCCTAATTGGAATAAGAGAAGCAAATTTTCCTGCCCCCATTGTCCCTTCACCAATGATTCCCTAATGCTTCCTAAACTGGATGAAGTACTGCTGATGAAGGCAAAAACTGAAGGTTGAAAGAATTAACGAGGCTGTTACTTAAATTTGTATCCCAAATTTTTCACTAAGAGGGGAAAATTTCTCTCCTTTGGGTAGGGAGGAAATGAAGTTGAGGTCTGAGAATTACAAGATGTATGCTACAACCTTGAAGAATAAGAATTGTGTGTTTAGAAGCATTTAGCGATCCAGAAAACATCATTAAGATGCTGAGTAAGTACTATTTCCAAAATAGTTATCAGATGTTACAGAATGAGATACACATAATCCAATAAAGCGGGGCTCTTGAGGAAAAGGGACATTTCTTTTTTTTTTTTTTTTTTCAGCTGGGAAGGATTCGCCCTCAGTTAATGTCTGTTGCCAATCTTCCTTTATCTGTCTCTCTGTCTTTTTTTTTTTTTTCTAATTTCCCTCCCCAAAGCCTCAGTACATAGTTGTTAGTTCTTCTATGTGAGCCACTGCCACAGCATGGCTGCTGACGGATGAGTGGTGTGGTTCCGTGCCTGGGACACTGAACCTGGGCTGCCGAGGCAGAGTGCGCTGAACTTTAACCAGTAGGCCGTCAGGGCTGGCTCTTCTTATTTATTTTTTAATTCCTAGGTCTTGAATAACAGTTTTAACATAATGGGTTTGCTTAAGCATCGATCAAAAAAATAAATAAAACCGAGGCATAAGGATTCCATGTATAAACTAAATAGTTTGTATCTATTTTATTAAATTTGTTTCTATGTATTGGTCTCTGTAGTCAGGCATTGTTTTTTTAAGATGTGTCTGCTGCTTAGAGATACTAATTTTTATTCTCAGTTTTTGTAGGTGTTTGCTCTTCCTCCTATTAATAAGCACTGAGATTATACTATAGTAAATTCTGTTTTATAATAGTTAAGACCAGCTTTGGAGTTTGGCAGACCTCGGTCTGCTTGATTCTAGGCATTTCTGCTGCTAATCCATCCCACGAAGTCCGCCTAAAAGTTCACTTTCATACGTCTGCCTCTGTGTCTCTTTCAGAGATCTCTTCTATTCCGTTCTGTTCTTTATCCCTTCGTGTGTGTGTGTATTTTTCACTTTCATCTTGAGAGTTATAGGTAGTATAGTGCAGTGATAAGGTAAAGGACACTGTGGCTAAACTCATTCCGATTCCACTTCTGCTACTTACCAGTTGGATCAGCTGGGGTAGATGATTTAATCCCTCTGTGTCTCAGTTTCCTCATGTGTGAGGTTGGGGTAATGATATCGCTGACCTCTCAGAGGTGTTGTAGGATTTAATGTGCTAATACTTGTAAAGTGCTTAGAACAATGTGTGGTGCTTATCTAAATTTCTTCGTGGGTCTTTGAAAGCTGATTAGAACTTGCTACCCCCTGTTTCATCCCAGAGTATTTTCTGACCTGATTTGATGTTCGAATTTCACTCTGACCTAGTCTGAGTTCTTCCTTTGGCGTGCCCCACCCCGGCCCTGTAAGTTCCTAGAACTCTGTCCACACTGCTCCAGTGACCTGAGTTCTCACTGTCAGAGAGGGTCCATGTCAAGCCTCCTCTCTTACCCTTTTCTTCCTTCCTTACCCTATGATCCCTGACCTCACAAAACACCGATTACAGAGTCAATTGTAAACTTTTTGAGTGTAGACAAAGAAATTAGGCTTTTGTTATCCCCAGACATTCTTTATTACAGCACTGGGAAAACAAGTTACTTGATAAACACATGGTAATTATAAAATTGTGTTTGTTGCTAATCTATTTTCCAAAAGAGAAATTTAGATATGATAGATAATGATATAGGTCAGAATCGACTTACACTATTTACAGTTTCAGTTGTGCATTTACTAATAGATTAGGAGCAATCAGAGATTGTTCAAATTGTGTATTCCCTGAAACCTGGTGTTTGAATAAAATAGGATCATTGTAAGGCTGAATTTCATCCAGGTAGGTGAATAGTTTGTGTTTATTCCTTATTAGATTTTGGTTGTGAGGAAATTATCCGTTTTAGTAGAAATAATAATAGTAGAAGTTAACTGTGCTTACTATGTGCTAAATACCGCCTGTCTGCCAACACCTAATCTTGACTGAAAAGCCATTAAAAAAAAAAGACAAGATGACTTGGGAGATTCCAAATTGAATTATAAATTTTGGAAGCATATTTTTTAAATGGAAGATTCTAGTTTAGAGAGTTTTGTGTTTAACAGAAATGTTGCTTCTAGATAGCTCACCAGGCTGTGTCTGGCTCTGGAGGATACTGGTGGGTGGTGGTCAGCAAATGAGGTGGGACACTGGAGGACACTGTCCTTGGCAGCGTGGCATGGTGAATAACAGTACTCGGGTTTTCTTTTCCACTAAAAAATCTCTCTAAGATCTTGAGGCGATTCAAAGTGAAAGGTGAAGAAAATAGTAGCACCCTGTATTTATTTTGGAGTTGCTCTTTGGTTTCTAATTTAGGTTGTGTATTTTCCTTTAATGTTTCATTTTGACATAATATATTTTAGAATGGACTTTTCTTGTGGATAAACATTTTATGATATGATTTTTCTCAAGTTCTAGGCGGCAATGTGGCTGTGTTTTATTTACTTGAATCATTTGTGATGAGAACCAGACTCAAACTTATTTCAGAAATAGTGTTAATTATACAAATGAAAGAGGCAGATATCTTTTTGATTCATCTGCACGTTTCAGAGTGGCTCTGTAGTGCATTCCTGAAACCATATCTAAATAATCATACAACATCTACTAATGTTGGTAGATATTTTATACTTGCTCATTGGAGGTTATATTTAGTTAAATGACCACATTTATGAGATTCAGTAATGAGATTCAGTACATGGGGAGCTAGTACAGTATATGGTAATGAGGTTAAAGGTTATGGAAGACGGATTCAAATATACCTGATGAATTGTATATTTAAATTGTTCTTTTAAGTATTGCAGATTTTGGCCTATATCCTACTGGTAATTATAAAACAAGACAGAAGTAAAAAAGATGGTAGATCAGGTTATGTTCAATGTTTTGAGTGGTCAAAATTCAAGGAATATGTGTTTTAACAGCAATACTGTAAAGGAACAGTGGTCTTTGGCTCAAGTACCACTTGTAATTACTGGAATCCAGGCTCCAGAAGACCTTCTATTTGGGGTGCAACCTCAGAATTGATCTCAACCTTTCCCATTTTGTGTTTCCTTCATGGCAGGTGAGAAGTAATAGTGGCAGGTGGGAGGATGTCAGGATGAAAATCAGGATTAAAAAAAGACTTCTCATTAAAGAATCAATATTAAGGGACTGTTTAAGAGGCTTTAGGCAGACGAGTAGAGGGAGGAGGAGGACTGGGAAGTCGTTTTGGAGATTAGGGTGACCTGAGTTCCCTGGGAAGGAAATGTTTGTTAAATACTATTTCTGAGTGGTTTTGTTTTGTATTTCTTTTACAAATGGATCACTTAATAAAAGTCAAAGACTTATTAAAAGACTTAAACTGTGTTTAAGTAGATCATTTCTTAGAATTTCTGGACTATAGATTAGGGACTTAGTTATCTTAGGTTATTGCATTTGAAAAAGGGGTACCTGCTCAAGATACTATATTTATATAATTTTGGAAATACTAGGACTAGAGGTTAAAAGTCAACAAAAAGTCAAACTTACTTGATTGCCTTTTAATCAAGTTTATTTACATCATATTTAAAATTGTAAATAAGGCTAATATTCAGAAAATCTTCAACTTACTATTTTTTCTATTTAAATATATATTTTATATTACACCTAAAAATATTTTTAACAGCTTAGTGGTATATGGAGGTTTGTTTCATAATTTGTAGATGATATACTTCAATACAATAATTTACAGAATTTTGAGAATTTTCAGGTTTATGGATCTAGTCTAGATTAATTCAGAAAAGTAAATGCAGATTTAGTTATTTTTATTTATTATAACTAATATAAGAATGTATTATATAGTTCAAAGTGTAAATCTCTTCCTACTGTTTCTTACTTAAAATCTTCTAACAGTTCCCATGGCCTCCAAGATGAAGTCCAGCATCTCTATTACAGAAGCCTGATTTTTTTGGTTATTGATTTGTGAAGCTTCTCTATGTCCCCAGTCTGTTCTCTCTCCCCTTCCTAGTAGGAGTTATATCACCATTGATCTTCTCAAGCTCTCTACTTCAACTGTACCCTGTCGCTTTTTAGAGAATGATCATTGGTTTTCTCTAATCAGGAAATACAGGTCATGAGAGGTGTCCACCAGCTTTCTGCCTCATACCAGCATCCACCTGTTTCCACACACTCATGAGGCCTCCTTGCTTTCTAAGTTTAAGGATTCTCCCTTCTGCCCCGAAACAATATGATTGAATAAGAATTCAATCATATTCTCTCTGTTTCCTCTCACTCTCCCCCTCTCTTGTTCATCTCTGCTAACGCCTTCTTTATAAACTCTTTCCCCTTAGCAAAACCCTTCCCTGACCCAGTGTCAACCTCTAAGTACTGCTATAACTCTCCCTCTGGAAAGAAGTAGTCTGTGTTCCTGACCACCCATTCATTGTTTACTTCATGGAAGTAGCTGGAATTGCTTTCATCAGGTTGCTAATGACCATTGATTTGCCAAATCCCATAGACACTTGTTTCAGGCCCTGGCATATCCCCTCTATCCAGTGGTGCCACATATTGAGCACACAATAAATATTAATTAAATGAATGACATTTTTCACTTCTATTATCTTCTCATTTTATTTATATGACTTCCCCTTCTCTAGGCTCTTTTACTGGCTCTTAAATGTCTATGTTCCCTAAGGCTCTGAGAGACCACTTTGTGTCTCACTCTGGCCTTCTCTGGATCGACACCCCATTCACAAACGTGCCTCCAGATATACAGCAGGTCACTCACCTGAAGTCTCAATCCTTATTAAGGCTTTGATCTTTTTGCATGTTCCGTAGATACCTCAAACTCAGTGTGTCCAATTTTGAACTCATAATCAATCCCATAAAATGTAGTCCTTTTACGTTATTACCTGTAAGGGACATCCCTGTAAGTGACATCACCAGACACGCAAACACCGAACCATACATCTGGGAACAACTCTCTTGCTGCCTCTTAGTTTTGAGCCTTCGTCTTCTCTTTATTCTTACATCATAGGGCCTTGGCTGAATGCCATCTCCATTTTCACCTGGAATGGCCTTAGTTAGGTCTCCCTACCTGCCTCTCTAGCTTTCGCTATCTATGTTTCGTAATTTTTTTCTTGTCTTT